AGATTCCTCAGTGCAAAGAGTCTTCCATTCACTTTGATATTGGCTTTCCTGTAACAGTGGAACTGGGAAAGTTACCAGTCAACCTTATCCATAGTGAACTACAAGCAACATTTGTGCTTCCACTTCCCACAATCATGTGCTCTGCTAGCCTAAATGTCCTAGTTCTGAAGGAGTAGTGAAGTTTGCACCATGCAACACAATGATGATTTCATAGAACTGGAAGCCAAGGATTTACCCTGGTCATTTCGGGCTCCTTATGCTTCTGAGGAAACAACCTAAAAAGGAGATGATAGTTTGGCAGAGCTGATTGCTTTAGACTATCAAGTGTAAACTAGACTATTACTCTGTGGTTCAGAAAAGAAATACAAGTCTTGGAATGCAGAAGTTACCACAAGAGGCCTCATTACCATGCTCTGTTACTAAAGTCAATGAGAAACTCTAAATACAGCCCAGCAGGAGGTCAAATAGTTCAGAAGGTTCAGAGGTGAAGTTACAGTCAATCCAGCAGGAAAAGAACCATGACTTGCTGAGGTGTTTACTGAAGTCCAAGGGAGTACAGAATGGATAGTGGAAGATAGTTATAAATGCCAGCTATAACTGTGTGACTCATTATAAAACAAAGATGGCTTTTCTTGTTGGTGAGACTTTGTTTCTGAAACAGGATGTCAGTATATTTTCCAAGCTGTCCTTGAGCTCTTGATGCAGCCCATTATCTACCTCAGTCTCCTGAGTGCAGGGAGATTGGCATGCACCCACACTCCCCCAGGATCAAGAATTCTAATTTTAGCTGTTATCTAACATTTTTAATGTACCATTTTCATATCATAACATGACAGACTTGTTGGTTCTCCCAGCAGGAGCACCAATAGCTACTTTCTCTGCATCTTCAGCTAGAGGGAAAGTATCCTATGGAATCAAGGGCAGTTTCCTTCTGGTGTCACTGGAACACATGCACGGAACAGTGGAGCCAGGGCAGAGCCCTCACTGTTCTCCCCCTGTTTACAAAAGGTGGCCTTCCTCCCTAACACCACTCGCATCTCAGCTCTCCAGAAGGCACTGGATCTGTGTGGAACAATTTGAGTCCACAACTCTGAGCTCTTGTAGAGTACAGAAGTTCTGTGTCTCATTCAAATGGGCAAGAAACAATGTTGGGTCTGGCAATAGGTGACAATTGGCTGTAATGAGCATTTTGGGCACACCAGAAAAGGGATGGGCCACTGTGATTTCACGGTAATGATCTCCTTCCTAGATGCCTGTACAGAGAGAGATGCAGGAGCCAGGACCAGCTTGCAAAAGCTCTGGCAGCTTATATTCCTCACTCACACTGTCTGGATTGTCCATCATGGCATCAGGCCCTCATTGTTCAACTTCCCCCTGCAGCAGAGAAAAAGATAATAATATGAGAATGTACTTTTTCCTGGAATTTCTGGACATAGTTTTCCCCTTCAGAAGCACAGCTCTATTTTAGAAAATGTCTAATAACCAGTTTTCCCTGTAGCTGAGGACAGTGAGTCTCAGATTTACAGCTGTGTAATGCTGCTGAAACACATAGTGAGACATCAACAATCTCCCCACTGCTTGGGGCTGGAACAATCATCCTACTGCTTGGGGCTGATCATTGGATTATGCTGACTTTCTAAATGTTTTCTCATCTATCTATCTATCTATATATCTCTTTATGTCCTTTACATACATTTTGGTGGGAGGGAAATAACAACTTGTGTGTACTAGAAAGAAAACTGTGAATTTTAACTTAGATGCTTTGCCGTACCCACTTCTCATGATCTTCACTGTCATCCAAATTTACCATGCTTACTTTTTACCATGAAGAGCAATTGTCACATGAAACAATAAATGTTTTACTTCAGAAATGAGGAGAATAGGAGAAGATACAAGAAGGAGATTTTATGGAAAATTATAGGAAAATTTATGAGTACTGCTCTATTACATTTTGACAATGGGGAAAATTATGTCAATATTGAACAAGTTGTGGTTTTAGGTTGAGTATGTCTCACTTATGTATTATTAAAATTAATAGATATATAATAGGTATCTAAGAAGTGAAAGGTTAGTACTGAGACAGATAATGAAAGGAGCAGTGAGATTCTTGAACAGACTCTTGAGAAATACTGGATGTTTATTTATGAAAATATTGGGATGCAGATAATTATGTCATGTTCTCTCACTCACAGAATAAGTCTGGAAAACATCAGACCTGTCCTCACTGAGCTTATCTAGATGTCCCCAATATTCCTCATGCTGCCTGCACATCAGCACTCAGAGATGGACCCCTCACTGTCATATTATGCTAAAAATAATTACCAAGGTCTTATTAAATCATGGAGATCTGGCACCAAACTAACATCACAGTCATCGCTGGCCTTTGTTTTCAATATCCTAAACAAATATTTTGTTTAACCATGATCACATGGGACAGAGGGGCACAGTTCTGTGAGTAGTCATTAATCCAGGTCATGACAAATTTCCTCCCATGCTATGTATTGTGTTGATGTCCAGGTGAGTTGTGAGTGCCAAATCCTATCAGAAAGCCAGAAGACACAGCAGGATAAATCTCCTAAGAGTATGTTGAGGGTTTAGAGTTGATTTCTTCATTTCCAATGACACAATGAGTGATAACAGCAACAAAATAAGGTGGAAAATCAACTCAAAAGGAAAGAGAAACTTAGGCAGTTGGAAATTTCCTAGACCAGCTATGGTGTAAAAAAAGCTAATATGTTTCAGGGTGGGGAATTCTGCATCAGGTAAAAGAAACATGGGATTGGAGAGCAGCGTAGAATGGGAGACACCTGATGCTGCTTGACAGGAAAATAGAATAATGATCCAAATTGATCAATCTGTCACTCCCACAACAGGCCCAAAGTGCAGAGACTGGAGGGAGTGATAGGCCACGGATGGCTTACGTGTCCTTTCTGAGGGTTTCCTCAAGCCACAGCCCCACACATATTGGGGCCACCTTCCACTGTCAGTCCACTTGTGGTCCTGGGTGCTCAAGTACAAAGTGAGACTCAGCAGGTGACACTGAGGAGTGCACAGACCATGTGTGTGTGTGGTGTCCAAATGCATGCATGCCCAGAGTTGTGGGGCATGGACACTTCCCTCTGGCTTTCAAACCAAGACCCAGACATCTGCAGGCACAGGAATGTACCTGTGCAGAAGGGAAGGAGCTGCAGAGACTCTGCAAAGGTGATGCTGGCACACTGTGGAGTGAGAGCCATGACAGAGAGACACCAAAGCTCAGGGCCTTGGAGAACTGTGTTGCCCCATTCTCCAAAAGGCTCCTGGCCTGCAGAGGGCTGGCATGTAATGTTGTGGTAGTCTTTCCCTGCTGGCTCTAACACACACCCTTGTGGACTCTTGTTGGAGCTACACCCCACAAAACATGATGGGGTGACAGGGCTTCATGAAGTGACAGAAAATCACAGTGACATAAATTCAAATGGAGTTACAGGAAACTGGTTTTGGGAAAACCAGTTACCATGAGCTCATGCAGGGAAGATCTTGGCAGGTCCTGTTGGGTTTTAGCTGTTGTTGATACTTGTTACTCCTTTCTGTCACCTCTTTAGCTTGGGAATGTCCACCCTATGTAGGGCCCACCACTGTGTTTGGGAATTAACTAAACTTAACTCATTTAACTTTATGAATACCGACTGGAGAGTCATACCCAAATGTCACCTATAATTTATTTAGATGGTATTTACAACAGATTTTAAATTGGTTCTTGAGATATTGAAATCTTTTGGCCAAAAAAAGGGCTGGGAGAATCTGCAGCAAACCAAGAGTGGCCCCCGGGGAGACACTAAGAAGGAGGCTAAACACCGACATCTTCCAGTCTGTGTCTGAGTTTCTCCTCTGTCTTAGCATCATACCACTGCTGAAAACTTAGAGTACATCCTCTACAGTTCACATGTGAAATCTCCAGACCCTACAGAATGAAAAGGACTTTGTTGGTGGTAGTTAGAAGGGGTATACATGCAAATATTATATTTGTATATCATTCCACTGTCATCTGCTTCACACAAACTTCAATGTGAGAGCAATATCAACTTGCATGTACTGGAAAGGAAGACAGTGATTTGTAAGAACTTTGATGCTTTGGGAAAACCAGTTACCATGAGCATCACCATCATCATCACCTAACAGGGGACAGCTAATTTTGTCACATAATGAGGCACTGTCTCATGCAGTAATAAATAATTCAGTTTAAGAAAGGCTAAAATAAAAAGACATTAAGGAAGGAGATTTCATGGTAAAATGACAGGAGAATTTATGAATACTGTTTCACTGCATATCTTGAGAAAAAGAAAGATTTCATCAATGTTTAATAAGTTTTATATTGCTTTCAAAATGTACCATATATGTATGTATATATATATATATATATATATAGAGAGAGAGAGAGAGAGAGAGAAAGAGAGAGAGAGAGAGAGCAAAGCTTATTGTAGTTGTAAGAAAAGGAGATGTCATACTCTTAAACATATGCTTGAAAAGATACCACTCGTCTATTGATTTGTGAAAATATTGTAATGCAGAAAATCCACATCTGTGTCTCTCCTTAGAAGAAGATGTCTGATACATATCATGAAGCATGACCACTCTGCCATGGAATAGTGCAGGAAGCCATTGAGTAGTGTGGGAAGGATTGTAGGATCAAATACATAGGATGTTTTTGTAACTCATGAGCTGATATCTCAGAGGTCTAGCATGCTTCACACTCTATGTATGCATGGGTAAATATATGAAATTGCCAACTCCACTGGTTAAATACAAATGAAACAATGACAATCAGATGAGGTTAAGTGTTTAGCATTACATAGATACATAGGAAGAAACCACGTTTTTGATAGAATTAGGAATATTCCCAAACATTTCTCATAACACCCATGTGCTTTTGAACCTTCCCTCTCTGAGGCTTCCAGAATAGAATTGGCCATATATACAGGAGGCCATGCAAATTGGACTCCCTTGTGCTCATGAAAACCAGCCCAGCCCTCACACTGCAGCTCTACAGAGGAACCCAGCCTTGGATGACCAGGTGGTCTCACTCAGTGATCAGGACTGAGCACATACGGAAACTATGGAGCTGGCCCTGAGCCTTGTTTTCCTCCTTATTTTAAAAGGTAATGCATGAAAAACTACAGATACCAATTATATGAGTGGCACAAATGGAATTAACAGTAGATGTGTGTGACAGTTTCCTGAATAGGACGTTTTGTGTTTGCAGGTGTCCATGCTGAGGAGCAGCTGGTGGAGTCCGGGGGAGGATTGGTGCAGCCTGGGGGCTCCCTGAAACTCTCCTGCATGGCCTCAGGATTCACCTTCAGTACTTATGTCATGCACTGGATCCGACAGGCTCCAGGAAAGGGGCTGGAGTGGATCTCATACATCAGCCAGACTGGTAAAAACATAAACTATGCAGACTCCATAAAGGGCCGATTCACCATCTCCAGAGACAACGAAAAGAACACACTGTATCTGCAGATGAGCAGCCTGAAACCCGAGGACACGGCCTTGTATTACTGTGCAAGAAACACAGTGAGGGACATCATTGTGGGGCAATACACAAACCTCCTTGCAAGGGCGCTTAAGTCCAGCAGAGGTCGCTGTGGCTGTGGAGAGGAAGGCCGGGTCCTAGGAGCAGGTGCAGAGGAGGAAGCCCTATGGTTAGGGCTTCCTGTGGGCCTCTGGTTTTCCCCATGTGTTAACATCACAGACCTGCAATGGAGGCACTGAGATGCAGCATCCAAGTCCAAGCAAACATAGTCTGTTGAATTTAGTTGCATAAGTGCATATTCAGGTTCTGACTTGCTCATCTCTATGCTCATTTGCTCTTCTTGCTCATTTCCTTGATGGGTAAATGTGACTTGTATGCATCTCAAGGTAACCTGCACTTTTTGCAAAGTTAGCATCCTTCTGAGTGTGAGGTCATCATCATCTAAAACTGAATCTACTCATACAGTCAGAATTATTAGGACTGCCTCACGAAGAAATATTTTGGGGGTTAAAGAATTAAATCCTTCGGGGCTGGAGATTTAGCTCAGCGGCATAAGCACCTGCGTTGGAAGCAGGCAGTCGTGAGTTCAATCCCTGGTACCGATAAAAAGGAAAAAGACAAAAAAAAAAAGAATTAAATCCTTCTCCACTCTGTTCACAGGGTCTGAGATCACACAGTTCTCTCCTCATCTTGGGGCCTCAGGAGGCCTGGTCTCCAAGCTCAGCCTTTGCCCATTTTGAGGCTCTGTGCTCAGGGAGGAGAAAAGGGAGTGGTCTGACTTGAGTCATAACAACGTCTGTGAGTTCTTTCTATCTAAGGAGACTGAGCAGGCTTTGAGTCTGTACTTTTCCTCTGTACCTTAGAAACTGTAAAATTTACAAATTACAGTGTAGACAGCTCTCCCCTCTCCCTGCTGGGCTTGTTGGACCCTTGAGTTCTGGGTCAGCCAGCACCATCTGTTTCAGAGGCCGGGCAGGCTGGAGTGAGTGTCCCAACACCATCCCTCCAAGCCCAGCTAGTTTGCAACTCTCACTCAGGCCCAGACAGGGAATTTTGCAGCTTCCTTTTGCCCTGGACCAGCTAAGTGGGGCTTGTATGGGGCTGCACAGGTCTTGCCACTCCCTGTCTGGCTTGGCAGACAATAGATTTCTGGGCCTGCCAGACTATAGAGCTCTGGGCCTGCCAGCACCATCCATTCCATAGACTGGGCAGCTTGGGGTGAGTGTCCCCACACCATCCCCCGAGCCCAACTAGTTTGAAACCCTCACTTGGCCTGGAAAAGAAATTTCACAGCTTCCTGTTGCACTGGCCCAGCTCAGCAGGTCTTGAGCCGGCCTGTCCAATCCCCAGTGACCCTCTCTCAATCCGAGAAACTGGGTGGCCAGAGTCCCAGGAGCTGAGGGCATAGAAGAAGATTTCCAAAAGGCCTTGGGGAAGCCTTGTAATAACAATAGAAACACAGAAATATAGGAAAGTAACAAGATGAAAGACCAAATTACAATATCAAAACTCCAGCCCATCCAAAGAAACCTTAGCAGCAATGTACATAGAAGAAAATATATGCCATACACCTGAAATATCAGGCATAATAGCAAATGAAATAAAGAAGCAACTCCGAGAAGCTTTAAAGGAGACATAATCTCTCAAGTAAAAGAAGAAATGATAAAAGAAATGAAAGAGATGCAAAACATATCTAAAGAAGACACAGTTAAAAAATGGAGGAACTAATAAAAAGGTAGAATCCCTGGATGAACAATATAAGAAACAAACAGAATACATAAAGCAGATGGAAAGAGATATACAGGAAATCAAAAATTCCATTGAAAGTGTAAAAACCACCTCAATGAAAGTGAAGGCAGAATTTCAAACCTTGAAGACAGGATTTCAGCTAGTGAACAAGAAAGGAAAGATCTTCTTTAAATAACAAGAAATAAGGAAATAACAATTCAACAGCTGCAAAATGATTCAAAGAAAAACAAAAGATTGGTAGGGATAAATGAAAAAGAAGGGGACAACATAAAGGATGTCAAAAAGATATTTAGAGGAGTAATACCTGAAAATTTTGAAAACATGAGATTGGAAACTGATATCAAGATCAGTGAAACATACAGAACTGCAAATAGCCACAAGAAAAATAAAAGTACACTCAGATATATAATAATCACCATCCCAGAAATCCAACAAAAGAATGGAATATTAAAAGCTGTCAGAGAGAAAAGACAGATCACTTATAAAAGAAAACCTGTCAGAATCACAGCAGACTTCTGAGCACAAACAAAAAAGTCAAGAAGAGCATGGAATGAAGTATTTCAGATTCTAAAGGAAAATGATTTCCAACCTAGAATGATGTACCCTGAAAAATTGTACTTCAAAATCAATGGAGAAATAAGATACTTCCATGACAAAGAATAGCTAAAGAATTTCATGATCACCAAGCCAGCCCTGTAAAGAACACTAAAAGACAATTTAGATACACTTAGGAGAAAACCACTAAGCAAAGCAGACAATTACACAGAAAAGAAAGATAAAGATGCAACAGCAGAAAGATAACATGCCAACAATAAGCCAACATATAACAGCTATAACCATTAATGTAAATGGACTCGGTGCATCAATTAAAAGAAATAGATTGGCAGAAAGGATCAAAAAACAAAATTCAACCATATGCTATCTACAAGAAACCCATTTAACCCAAAAGGAAACTCAGAGACTGAAAGTCAAAGGATGGAAAACAATATTTCATGCAACAGATACCCAAAAAAAGCAGGGGTAGCTATTCTGTTTGAAGACAATGTGAACTTTAAACTGATAATGATCTGAAGAGATAAACAAGGTCATTACATACAGGTTAGGGGAAACTTCAAGAGGAACAGATAACTATCTTAAATATATATGCACCAAATTCCAGAGCACCCAATTATATAAAACAAGTATTAACAGAAATGAAAAACCAAGTTAGAAGTAACACAATTGTAACAAGAGACCTTAACATACGATTGACACCAATGGACACATCAACCAAACAGAAAATCCGCAAAAAAATAACAGAACTGAATCACACATGTGAACAAATGGCCTTGATAGACATATATAGAGTGTTCCATCCAACAACATCAGAATACACATTCTTCTCAACAATACATGGGTCATTCTCTAAAATAGAACATATATTAGCTCACAGAACATATTTAAACAAATGCAAATGAGTTGAAATCATCCCTTACAAGTTATCGGATCATAGCACCATGAAATTAGAAATTAATGATAAAAGATACTGCAAAAATCCCACAAACACATGGAAACTGAATAACACACTCTTGAGTAATCAGTGGGTCACAGGGGAAATTAAAGAAGAAATTAAACAATACCCACAAGCAAATGAAAATACAAATACAACTTATCGGAATCTGTGGAATGCAATGAAAGCTGTCCTCAGAGGAAAATTTATTGCACTGAGTTCCCACATCAGGAAAACAGAACGAATACAAATAAATAACTTGATGCTACACCTCAAACACCTAGAAAAAGCAGAGCAAGTCAAGCCCAAAGCCAAAAGAAGAGAGGAAATTATAAAAATCAGAGCAGAAATCAATGCAATAGAGACTTAAGAAAACAATCCAAAGAATCAACGAATCAAAGAGTTGGTTCTTTGAAAGAACAAATAAAATTGATAAGCCCCTAGCCAACCTTATTTTAAAAAGGGAAGAAAAGCTCAAATTCATGCAATAAGACATGAAAAAGGTGAAATCACTACAGACCCAATAGAAATACAGAAGATCATCAACACCTATTTCGAAAACCTCTACTCTCAAAAGTTTGATAATACAGAAGAAATAGACAGATTCTTAGAAACATATGAAGTACCAAAGCTAGATCAAGAGGATATAAAACTGTTGAATAACCCAATCTCTGTTAATAAAATTGAAAATGTAATTAAGTCCTTACCCACCAAGAAGAGCCCAGGCCCAGATGGATTCACTGCAGAATTCTACAAAAAATACAAAGAAGAAATAATGCTGACACTCCTCAAACTATTCAATGAAATTGAAAGGGAAGCAATCCTTTCATTCCTGGAAGCAAATATTACTCTAGTACCAAAACCTGAGAAAGACCCAACTAAAAAAGAGAACTATAGGCTGATCTCCCTAATGAACACAGATGCAAAAATCCTCAATAAAATATTGGCAAATAGGATGCAACAAATCATCAAGAAAATTATACACCATGACCAAGTGGGATTCATCCCAGGAATGCAAGGATGGTTCAACATTCGCAAATCAATAAATGTAATCCACCATATCAATAAAGCCAAATATAAGAATCACATGATCATTTCTATAGATGCAGAAAAAGCCTTCGAAAAGGCCCAACATTTATTCATGATAAGAACTTTACAGAAAATTGGAATAGATGGCCTTTACCTCAATATAATAAAGGCCATTTATGACAAACCAACAGCCAGTATCATACTAAATGGCCAAAAATTGAAAGCCTTTACTTTAAAATCAGGCACAAGACAAGGATGTCCTTTATCACCACTCCTATTTAATATACTACTGGAAGTACTAGCCAGAGCAATTAGGCAAAAAAGAGAAATAAAAGGGGTAAAGATAGGAGAAGAAGAAGTTAAATTATCATTGTTTGCAGATGACATGATACTCTACATAGAAGACCCCCTAAACTCCATTGAAGACTCTTAGATACAATAAATAAATTCAGTAATGTGGCTGGATACAAAATCAATACTCAGAAATCAATAGCATTCCTATACACGAACAACAAAATCACAGAGAGGGAAATAAGAGAAACTGGACTATTCACATTAGCAAGCAAAAAAATGAAATATTTAGGAATTACTCTTATGAAAGAAGTGAAAGACTTATACAGTGAAAATTATAATGCACTGAAAAAGGAAATTGAGGATGATCTCAGAAAATGGAAAGACATCCCTTGCTCATGGATAGGAAGAACAAACATTGTGAAGATGGCCATTCTCCCAAAACTGTTATACAGATTCAATGCAATCCCAATAGAAATACCATCAACATACCTTATAGATCTAGAAAAATCACTCATAAATTTCATCTGGAACCAGAAGAGACCTAGAATCGTAAAGGCAATTCTAAGCAGCAAAGACAAAGCAGGAGGCATCACAATACCTGACTTGAAATACTTCCCAGAATCAATAACTGGGACCACTTCTTATTAAAAAGTTTCTGTCAAAAGAAATCTCCAGCAT